GGCAGGGCGGGGCGAGGCGGAGCGGGGCGGGCTTGAGGGGCTTGCTCTGCCTTTCAGAGTCCACACTTGCACTGTCTAAACCGCTGGCCTGGCCTGGAAACAGAGGCCCGCGGGCCGGTGGCTGTTCACCAGTGTGCGCAAAGACGCAGCTTTTCTCCAGCCACACTCAGTATTCCAGCAGCCCGCTCCCGAGAGCGGGACTGCTCCGGAGCCGCGGCAGGACAGGAGGAACCCGGTCGTCCTCGCAGGACTGGCGGAACAGACAGCCTCCGGCCTCGGGCAGCCGGGAGGGGCTGGACCCTACCCTAACCCTGGCTGTAACCCTAACCCTAACCCTTACCCATTACCCAGCCCTAGCCCTAGCTCTAGTACTGGATGCTGAATTTTGCCCCCACTACCAGCCCTAACCCTAACCATTTCCATTACCTTAATCCTAAACCTAACCCTGGCCCCTAACCTTTACGCTAACCTTATCCTTACCCCGTGGCCTCCCCGTCCGCCCTGGCCTCTGAGGGTGTGGGGCCCGCGGCTTGGAGAGCATGGAGTTTGTGGGGCGGTTGTTGGGACAGGCTGTGGAGCTGGAGGGTCCAGAGGAACCCAGGGCCTCCCACATGCGGGGCACCTACTGTACCACTGAGCAACACCTCCTCCACCCTCCTTGTTTTGGAGAAAAGGTTTCGCTGGGTAGTTCAGGCTGGCCTTGAACTTGCAGCGATCCTCCTGCTTCAGCCTTCTAAGTACTAAGATCACAGATATGTGCCACTACACCCAGCACGTATATATTTTTTCTCAAAAATACCTAATGCAAAAATAAAGAAAAAGGATCTTGGAATTAGATTGGAGACGCTAGGCCGCTGAGCTGGGACCTCCTTTGCCCCACAGCCCCATTCTCCGGGTTCAGTTAGGAAAGAGCTTCGAGGAGCCAGGCAGCCACTGTGGGGCGCCGCAGGCCATCTAGGAGCCGGCCAGAGCGGGTCCACGTCACCGGGGCTGGGCTTACAGTGGCCTCTGCGTATCCCAGCACAGGTGTCCCCGCACAGTTGCCCCTGGTTTCTGGATCCCAGAGTCCTCTTCTCCTAAGGGTCAGGGCCACCCTAATAACTTCGTTTTATTTTGTTTTGCAGCCCTGGGGGTTGGACTCAGCTTGCACTCCCAGCTTTTTTTATTTTGAGAGAGGGTCTGGGCAAATTGCTTAGGCTAGGCTCAAACCTGTGATCCTCTTCCTTAGCCTCCCACAGTGCTAAGACAGTAACTTCATCTTACGTTAATCACCTCTTATAAAAGATGTCATCTCCAAACTACCACTGTCTGAGGTTTGATGTGAACTTGCAGGACAGGATACAGCCCATGGCTGATGGAGACCTGAGACGCAGAACTCTGCCTCCATGAGCACAAGGGCCTGGAGGGTGTTGGGCCCCGCTCGGCACAGGGGACCCCAAAGCAGGGGGCAGGGACAAGTCGTTCCCTTGTGGCTGTCCTGGGTGTGTCCCCAGCAGGCTTGGGCTGGAAGGCCAGTGGCCTCTGAGCAAGCTGACAAGAGGACCAGGGGCCTTCCTAGTTCACTAGAGGCCAGGGGCGGTGGCAGACATATATCATCCCAGCACTCCGGAGGCTGAGGCAGGAGGATGGCGAGGCCTCCCGGGCTGTGTCATGAAACCTTGTCTTAAAACACAACAAAAGCTCGCTGGTTGATTCTTGAAACTGTGCCCTTGAACTTCAAACCCTGTGCACAGTTCCGAGAGCCTCCTGCACCATCCCTGCTCTGCCTCTCTTCTCCTACCCCTTCCAGGGCTGGCAAACTCCTACTCAAACCTTAGGACTCATTTCAAGGGTCCAGTGTCCTAGACCTTCCCAGACAGAGATACCTCATCCTTTGTGAGTCCCCAGTTACAAATGCGTGCTTTCCAGACCTGTCATCCCGTGAGACTCCGAACTGTTCAAGAAGGAGCTGCGCCGGGCCGGCCACATCCTGGCAGTGAGCATGTGACACAGCAGGTTCTAGACCTCTCTGTGCACCAGTTTTCTCACCTGTAAAGGGACAGCCCAGCCTTGCTCGGGCAGCCCTGGGTGCTTGTGCACTGCCCTTATTCTCCTTATTACCTCTGTGCACGCACTGGTGGGGATCATTAGTGCCTATGTGGGGTCCGGCCCAGGAATTATTTGCCAAGTGAATGCATTATGGGCTACAGGTGAGCTTCACGCTCATGAGCAGAACGCTGTGGATGGGAATAGGAAAGTGAGCTGGAGAGAGATCGCTGTCACCTAGGGCACTGAGCGCCTCCGTCCAAGCCTCCTCTGTGCCCCCACGCTATCTGGCTGCCACCTTCTGCTTCTATTTTTGTTGGGCCTGGGTGGCACCAGGAGGAACAGAATTTGGGGCATTGTCTGCGCCCTGAGCCCTGTGCCAGACCTGATGACCCCATGTGTCCCCCGCCACCTGCTTTAAATAGTGCCCTCCCTGCCCCAGGGCTGAGTGGACTCGGGTCCTGGAGCAGAGCTCCTCAGGCTGCTGCTGTACCCTGCCACCCCAGAGCAGTGCCCCCCCATGCTCCCCATGGCCTGGGACACAGCCTGGGTGTGGGGCCCAGACCCCACATGGCTGTCCTCTGCCTTCCCCATCCACAGAGTGAGGCTCAGCCTGACTCTCGCGTCCCTGTCCATTGGCCCCACTGCAGCTTCCAGTTTTAGAGTTGTCCCTGTCCCCTCCCAAGTCTGCCACATCCACATGCTGCAGCCGCTGTCCCTGAACACAGCTCACTTTACACTTTAATTAACCCTGCGCTAGACCTGCAATCACAAGATGAGTGCTCTCATCTTCTCTAATGCAGGCTTAATAAATAATAAGTGTTAAAACTCCAGCCTAGGGACCACTCAGAATCATCCTACACGGAAGTGGGCGCCCTGGCCATGGTAGGGGGAGAAAGGGGACAGATGGTACGGTGCCAAAAGCATGCAGTGGGGAGAAGCCCTGGCTCCACCCCAGCACCAGGAAAAGAAAGAAGCAGGAGGAGGCAGGAGGAGAGGAGGAGATTTAAAGAACAGATCTGCGGAACGGGGTGTCTGGGTGGGAGGCACAGGGTCGGGTTGGAACCCATAGTCCCTTGCAGGGATACAGGCTTGGGCCTGCTCAGGTTGGCCCAGCTGCACCTGCTGCCCTCAGCTCTGAGAGGCACTGCTGTGTGCCCAGGCTGGCAGAGGCCAGGAAGGCCCTGTTCAGGGAGCTGGAGAAAGCCTGGGCCAGAGGCACAGCAGGAACCACAGGGTGTCCTGGGTGGGCACCATTGCTGTCCAGCTCACAGCAAAACATAAGGGGAAGTAGGAGGCGTCTCGTCCCCATACCAGCCCCAGGCCACTCAAGGAAGACCGTAATCCATAATGGTAGTACACACTGGTAATCCCACACTTGGGAGGCTGAGGCAGGAGGATCTCCACAAGTTTGCAGCCAGCGTGGGCTACAAGTGAGCTCGTGGCCAACCTGAACCACATAGAGACCCTTTCTCAAAACAACAAAAGCATTATATCAACAGTGGACCATACATACGACAGTGATCCTGTAGGATTATAGTGGAGCTGAAAAATTCCTGACACCCAGTGACACGATAGTTGTCGTGATGCTTGCTGTACACAATTCAGACTCCACATATCTGTGCTGGTGCCGGTATCGACAAAGCCACCACCCTGCCAGTCATTTCAAAGTAGAGCATACAGTTATTATTCTACATGTGGTACACACTGCGTGAGACATGTGTAAGGCTCAGCTTGTGGGAACTGTGGATAACTCTTGACAGCGATGATAAGCAACTACATGACTGGTCTCTGATTTACTTCACTAGATCTTTATCATTATTTTCGAATGTACTCCCATTTATCTGAGAGTCGCATTCACCGATGGTCTCAGCTTTCCATCACTGTGACAAAACAGTACTTAAGAATCACGGCTCAAAGGGGGGTTTGCTTTGCTCCTGGTTTCCCAGGATCCTTTGCTTTTAGGCCAGTATGAGACAGAAACATTGTGGCAGGGAGAAACTGCTCACCTCATGGTGGGAAGGAAACGGAGGAAGAGGAGAGCAGGGACTGGACACAGCTCCTGGCCACACCCCAGGGACTTCTCCACGGGCCCCATGTCTTACCAGCATTTCAAGCCACAGCTCATCTGTGGAGTCAGAGGCTACCTTTGAAGACAGGAAACTTTTGGGGACAGCCTGGGTCCCAGCCATTGCACCAGCACCCTTGGTCACACCAGGCCACATAAGCGGGTTGGCCTTGTCCACTGGTCTATGTAGGCATGCTCAGTGTCACACTGCAGAATTGCCTAACAATGCGTTTCTGGGGTGTATCCCGTCGTGAAGCCACGCATGACTGCATTTTTAAAAACTATTTGTTATAGCTGGGAATCCCAGCTGCTGCAGGAAGATCACAAGTTTGAGCCCAGCCTGGGTGACTTAGTGAGACTCTGTCTCAAAAATCAATACAATTAAAACGCAAAGGGCTGGAGGTGTAGCTCGGTGGTAGAGAGCTTGCCAACACATGCAAAGCCTGGTCTCATCCCCAGCACTGAATTAAATCAATCAATGTATCAATCAATATTAAGAGTCATTTATTGTCTATGTGCCATTTCTACATGACTGGCCATCCTCCAGTTCATCTAGAGGCAGCTGAGAAAGTTGTGAGACCACCACAGAGGTCTCATCTGGAAAAAGGGAAAAGAAT